AGTTGATATATTACAGAAAAAGCTGGTGTTTGCGGGCGATTTCGTTCATCATGTCAAAGAGAGTGGAGTGATGGTAGTGGGAGAACACCACTGAGACGCGCACTTCATTTTGACTCGTTGCCTTGTGTACCGACACGACAGCACAAAGGCTGTATCTAGCAGAAAGGTTATGTGTGGGCCGTATGTGAGGAAAATTTGGCAAATCGCTCTTCATGAGTACATTTCAATTTGCAACACAGACTACACCTACACAAAATTATGCGTCTTAATTTTGAGTGTAGAAATCACGGTTTTATTATGGGCATCCTTAGTAAGGATATTCTTTCCCAATCCTGTTGTCTAATAGGGTTTGATGTTCTTCCACAACAACACTTTAGTCTTCTATCGCGAGCTAGTAATTATGAATAATTAGATATATAACATACTCCTGCAGCATATCGATTAGAACAATAACCGGTAATGGATTGAGAGACAGCAGCTCGAGCGGACACCCGGGTGGATTCGTCGCGAGTCGAGCCGAATACTCTCATGTACAGCTGAACAGCTCAGTAAGGTGCCAGTTTAGTTGCGGTGCAAAAGTGATGCAATTACCTCCAAGCATTCCTCGACTTCCTGCAGAGACACTCGTAGTTCCGCAGAACATACTATTTCCACCAACAACTAAAATGTTCATTGAACAAAAAATTACAGTGAACTTGCTCAGAAGCACCAGAGCGTAGTCATATCTATCGCATGACACCAATAGTTGCATAAGGTGAAATATAGAAATTTGGTAGTCGAAGTTTGTTGGAATAAAAAGACCAAAAATTGAGAAAGAAATAAAGTGGTACATCGTGCTAAATTATTAAAGATCGTCAACACACCGTGAGGCAGTTGCATTGTAACTGTGAGTTCCACTGAGCAACACCAGTCATTGAACTTAGCACCTACATAAAGACGCTCGTATTAGACAGAATTTTGCTGTACAGGAGTAAAATGGATACCTGAGTCGCTAAGCTATGATTCGGATTTTCAATTGATGTGGAATGAAAGCGATTATCACGAAGCATAGCCTAAAACTATACATTATAAATAAGGTTACAGACACCAGTTTACTACTCAGCAATCAAGTCTGTTGATAACAAAATCCATTTTCTTTCAAACTTCCGTATAACATCAGCGGAAGCCGATGGGAGAAGGCAATAATTCGAAGAAAAGACCAGCAAAATGAACCATTCTCCAATAGAATTCACTTTCGGAATGTTTCCGGCTTAGCTAAATCAAGTCATTGCTTAATATTAGTGATGGGCCACGAATTGATACTCAAAGCAAACGCGATGTGAGCTATGCAAAACCACACATATGCAAAAATCTGATAAGAATAAAACATGTTTTGAGCCGTTAGGTGTAGTGCTGTACAGGCGCCTGTTTCGTCCTATCAGGGCTCATTAGTGGCACTCTCCCTCGGTTCAGCCGATCATTTGAGGCTTAGTAATTCTCTATAAAAGATTACACGCCGAGAAAAAAATCACCGCAAGTCAGATGATGGAATTACCTGAAATCACCTGTATATGAAAGTATCCAGAGGTATGTATCTAAAAAACCAACTACTCTATATCATCTAGTAAACGAAATTTTGTTGATCATATTGACAATTTGATTAATGTTTCTGAAGAATATTAACCAGCAAAGGCTGATGGATTTTGATACGATTATGATGTGCTTCAACACAGACCGACTGAAATGGAAGTGTTGCTTCGAGCTGTAGTCCCGCTAATCGATTATGAAAGGAAATGTAAGAAAAATTGCATGTGTACTGTAGAGGACTTGACCAGCTAGTGTTCTTGAATCCTTTCTTGACTTATAGATATAATAAAATGCTCATTGTACTTGTGCCTTCCCACAGGGTGATTCGAATCATTTCAAAGGATAGAGGTTCACCTTCAATCGACTTTTGAAATGTGCTTCATGCAGCCGACTCAGTCAAGCAATAAATGGCTCTCCATAGTCGACCAACGTATGTGGTCGCCATTTCATCCTTCCAGACAAATCCAGTAACAAATTTCCCACCTCCAAAACCTTGACGGCGTAGAGGGTCAGTGAGCTTGAGGCGGTGTTGAACCAGAGACTAATCCAGTGCATGTTAAGGGACACTTCTAACCACTGCATTACATGTTTCTTTCCTACGGAGGATTATGGTGAACAAAAACCATATAATTATTGAAATTAGAAAAAAGCCGCCTAATTTGATTCCTGTATGGAATGTGTCGCTTTAGAAGTTCATTTCATGTATCATGCGAATGGTGTACGAGGACCAGGCAAACAAAACAATACTCAAAGTTGTAAGAACTGTTGAAGAAGACAGAGAACTGTACCTGAACTCCTTCGACAGCATAATGAGCAGCTTTGTCATTTCCTTTGTCAAAAGCCAGCTCAAATGCAGCGAGACACTTCTCTCGAACAAATGGGATCGATACGTCGTTAGTCGCCAGTGTTTTGACGGCATCTTAATGGAGTGAAGTTCAAATACACTTCCTTCGAGTAAAAAGTACAATAAAATATGAAATGTAAAAATAACTCTTCAAAAAATCTACTTCAAGATATTCTCATCAAAAAACTCTGGGAAAATCCTCTCATGGACTATCCATTTTTAAACCTCTCTTCAAATATTCAGAAAAGCCTTTGGAAACTTTTAGAAGTTTTCGAGGTTGGTACATACGAAATACTCTGTCCCAGAAGGTTCTAGTTCATAACACAGAAACATCGCATTCGAAGTTTTGCTTGTATCTTAGCATTCTTGCATAAATGTTTGTGTTTCTGCTTTCCCTCCGTGGTTTTCTTCCAAATCCGTCTCAGGCTCAGATCACTTTCTCTTGATAGATATCGCTACGAGTTTCATATTGGTTGTACTTCTTACTCAACATACTAATCTAGTAGAAGAGAACTGAGCTGAGCACAACTTTGATCACTTATCATGCTTCTTATTTCCCAGTGAATTGATGACTAGTAGCGGTTCTAAATGAAGTATTTTGGTTAGCCGACATGCGATTTCACAGTTTTTTTCCTTCCTCGAAAGCTGCCTTTTTCTGTCATCTAAATGTTTTTTCTCTTTTCTCCTTTCTTGGAACTGATTAATAGAATGACCATATAAGAAATGGCAGTGAACCCCACCTTCATCAGGTCTCACGAGGTATATGGACTATTTTGGTGTACATAGGTATTGCGCTCTGGTGAGACTCATAAAGACAATTGTGGAAGATCATACCATTCGTTTCGAGTGTTTTCTTCCACGTTGAAATTTCAGTATGCTTGATAATTGTTTTTGAGTCATGCATGTGGTCTGTTATGGACACTTATACAGTGCAATACACGCGTTTCGGCCTTGCAGCCTCGTCGGTTGCACTGTGCCCATCGTCTGAGCTTTTCCCTCTTGGGAGAGAACCATTTTACATAGAGGACCGTAGGCGTGATATTTGCACACGCCGTCAAGTGATAAAAATCACCAAACGGACTGTGCTGCCTACTCGATTGCTGACGAGGGTGTAAAGCCAAAATACATATATTGCACTGTGAAAGTGCTCATAATAGACAACGTGCATGCATTAGAAATAATTTTGAGGCAATTGTGAAACAGGTGAGTTGTCATGACTGTTCGAAAAATTCTTCTAAGGACACAAAAACAGCTCAGTTTGTAGTATTAGAAGTCATTTTGGATAAGTCTGTCGATCGTGTCTGTAAAATTACGGATTCCTCTTGTGAACATCATAACACATAATCGGTAGTGGAGTTCGTCATTGCATCATATTATATATCTGAGGTCTCTTAGCCTTTCATCATCCACGGACATCCGAGCTCGCCACATCCTTGTGTACGGGGTTATTCCACTAGCTTCTTTGTTGTCTCTTCGATAATTGAAGGCCAAATAATGCCAGTGTGGAGCGCGTCCTCAACTAACGAATTGGGCGCTTCTGACCAGTGACAGTGATGAAGATACTTTCATGATATATACTTGATCACTCTTTAGCTGAATAGAGTGCTACAGAGCTGTGGACCTCTTCTCTATTGTCCTTGCCCTGAAGATGATTCGTATCTTTGTCGTTGAAAATGTTACAACAGGACCCATCAGTCTGTAATTCATGTACATAAAGTGAGATCAATCGTTAAGTATCAAGGACTTCAAAACCTTCATTATTTGATATTCTTCATTTGATCAGGACACATATGCGAAATTGTGGTACTTATAATGCCAGCTATATCAAGTGTGAATTCTGCTTCAGATGCTCAGCCGCGCTTTTTTTCCTTGAAACCTCAAAGATCCAATACCAATGGTTCTTACCATTGTGCTAGTCTGCTAGACTTCGTAAGCGAGTGAAGACAAAATGCATCTTAATTTCCTTGTAATGACATTGATTACTCTAACCTACTTTCTAGGGTACTTATCTTGGTGAAGCTGATAGCTAAAGTATAACAGCCATTGAAAATTCTCTGAACGTCTTCCGCAGGTTCGGCCCAAAGCTAGTGTCCCCCTTCTCTGATATTTTGGAACGCCATTGATTGTAAAACAACAGCAGTTTGCATTACGTTGAGTGGTATCTGTGCATGGCAGCGATTGACGTCGAGTCTGAATTACTTAGTGCTGCCAATGACGTTACGCGATTTTAACGTAATTGTTAATGTTCATTACCCAGTAATCCCCATGATGGAAGCACGAACATCATCATTGTCAGATATTAACCTAAGCGGGTTGAGTGGTAAGCAAAAATACGACCTCAGGCGGGAGTCGAACCCGCGTTTCATTCATATTTTTGCTCACCACTCAATTCGCTTAGGCTGATATAGAACGTCATAACACTGCGAAAAAAAGCAGAAAAAATACTAGAATTGTCGAGTATTATATCTAGCAGTGGCTGTTAGCTCAACTGGGTTTATTAAGCGAAATCGCACACTCGACCACACCTGTTAAAAGTTGGTGGCTGACAGCCAACATAGAGATGTTGAAGAATGAGTGGTAGTGCTGATGTACCTCGGTGGTGTAGTGGTAGAACACGCGTCTTCGATATAGACGAAACGCGGGTTCGACTCCCGTTTGAAGTCGTATTTTTGCTTTCCACTCAATTCACTTAGATTGATATGAAATATCTTAACACTGCGGAAAAAAGCAGAAAAAGTACTAGAATTCTCGAGCATTGTGAAATACTTAATGCCCCCGTTTTGGATCCTTCTTGTAAAAAGGAGGGTGCTATATCCTGTAAAGTCATTTGTTTAGAAGTATACGGAATCAAAAGCGATATGTGTCGGAGTTCTAGATGATACGAGACAATAGTTGAACTAATGTCCTTCACATGTGCAGTGGGGTAGAGCCGTGCACCGTCCCAACATTATTAAATAAGTAACAAACTTAAAAGGTCCAGTTCATGAAAGAAACTAGTTCTGAATAAAATGATTTGGATTGTGAACGAAACTATTTCATCAAAAGTTTCTGAAAGTTCTAGTCCACTCATGAGTTAGATACCTTCACATCAAGTGTTTCATTTGAGAGATAAGACAGTTTTTCCTATCGATTAAAGTATCAAAAAAATGAGATTTTCTTCTAACGACACTTCCATATGGAGGCCAATAACCAGGTCAAATCAAGCGTACTCGGCAAGAGCTGTCAATACTAGAAAATATTCACTCGCTTAAAAAGTATACCTTTGCAGTGATGATGTCTAGGACTCACAGAATTTCGTTGTCATACTCATGTTGTGCAAAACGTTTCCTGATTTCAGTGATTACTCAGTTTCTTCAAATACATGAATGAATGTTTATTTTATTTAATAACTCGCTTTTTCTCGCTCTAGGAGATGAATGTGCAGATTCATGGCTTGTGGGTGAATAAAAGTGATTTCAGCGAAGGCATTGGATCAGAAATAAGCAACGAAGACACTGTATTTTTGATGAGAATTAAGCCGTTGAAGAGAACAAGTGCATAAGAGTAATTTAATGATCAATAACGATAATAATAACACTTGAGTAGCACACCTTTCGCTTGGGTGATGGCTTCCTTGGTCGCGCTATGCTTGACGGTGCTAGCGAGTCCATTCAGCGCCGCTTCCATGCCGCCGGCGATGCCGGATGGACTGGAAGCCGTGATGTATTCAGCCCCGAGGCTAGTGGGCGGTGGAAGTACACACTCCGCCTTCTCACCCCACGATTAAGCCGCGCTTTTCTAGTAATCGATAGCGCTGTCTTTATGGAGCGGGTCCATGTCGAAGATGTCTGGTTCAACCTCCACTGAAACGACATCGTCAACGCTAGAGGCTGTCGCTAGGCAGCGCTGAAGGTTGCATTACTTAGGTTGAGACAATTGCCCTTACATAGCACAATCAAAAAAGATTTTTGCAAAATCCGAGGGGTCAAAAAAGTTTGCTGATTCTCTAATTTATAGACAGCTAAATGTGATAGAGTGTTTAACAGATTTTTTGCCAATGATTTATAAGAGAGTTCCATAATGGTTTAGAAACCTTAGAATCACTGGTTTAATTCGCCTCCTCAAATGAATCTACCATAAAGGTCTTCGTGTGTGAAATCAGCTGCTAATTGAGGATCTCGGCCATCTTCGTGAATTACGTGCATCTTCCCGCTGAACCCTCATATGGCGTGCTGGAACGCTTTCTGGACATCACCCTTCATGGGGAGCAGGGATCTTTTACTCTAAAAGCTTGGAGTCAATTTTCTGGCTAAAAGGAAATGGGAGGCTTGATTGGTCTAATGTGGATTAAGGGGAAGGCCATACAGATCTGATGAACAGCATTGCTACCATTGCGTTATTCTTCATGTACTTAACAATCGATAGTTTTCGAAGAAAAGCAATAAGCTCATTTGATTTGGCATGCAATTTATCATTTTTATCTCTTTTCGTTGTGGAATGTACAGAATGTAAAGATCAGAAGAAGAGAAAAAACTAAGATACTTATCAACATTGGAAATATAACTAATTTGTGGTTCTCTTAGAAAATGCAAAAACGGCAATGTGAGCTGACTAGTCAAAAAATTGTGTCAAAGACGTTGGTGAGCTTTTTCTGTAAAGGATTACTATTTTTCGACCGAATATTAATTTACGATGAATTCCACCAGTTCATTCATGATGTTGTCACGTCGATAACACGAGAGTTTCTGATAACAGCAATAATTCATTTTTGATAACTCTGAGAGACAAGAATTATTTTCCGAAGTGATAAAGATCGTTTAACTGATAAGAGCAAGTATAAAAGCGAAAGCGAAAGGAGTAGATTTCATTTCTATAAACTCTCTGATTATCCGGACGGTGCTGTATTGTTGATAGCCCGCTGCTCTCATCAAGAATTCCTGAATTATTTAGTGGCTGTCTTGACCTAATTTTGAGGTGATATGTCGTTAATTTTGCTATTTTCTTGGAATAAGTAGAAAGTGCTATTCGATAGCTATACTAGCTCAAGCACCCATTCAGGTATAGAGTATTGGCCTGTTTCTGCCGTCATTCGATGGTATACGAAAAGGGAGCAGTATCGTACTATGTTGATCACAGGAAAGTTTTTATAAACGAAAAACACCGACGACGCCGCTCAGGTAAACGGCGAGCACGTCGCAGATACTTCTTCAGGAGCTCAAGAAGAACAGGAGGATCTAGATCGCTTCGCAGTCGTAATACCCGTTCTAGAATCGCTCGCAAATGTCGTAGTAGGCGCACGCTTTCAACTCGAAGTCGCAATAAGCTGGGTCAATTTGTGAAAACCTGAAACATGCGGGAGCCATCATAGTGCCTGAACCATGTACTAACAACGCCAACACTGATAGTTGTATCACTAGCTCCAATACCGTGATGATTTTCGCCATGAAAATGGCTCAGGTCCGCACCTTTAATTGGTATCAATTGTATATTGTATACTGTATATTATACTATCTTTGTATATTAGTGATTTCGGTGATATGTACACTATATATAAGAGCATGTACAATGTGCAGCTAATATAAGATGTTTTATAAAAGAAATATAAGATTTGAATATAAGAAAAAATATAAGGTTTGGGATGTTATCGCAAGCATTCGATGTATTCGACATAGGAATTCTATACTATAGGTCGAGATATTGTTTCTTATATCGTTCAGTTGATGATGAATTATAAACTGACTATTTAAAGACTTCATAAGTGTTGATTGTTGACTGTGAGAAGTACAAACTCTAAGCAGGTTAGGTAAATTGTTGACCGGCACTGATTTTTTGGGTAATTGTTGTTGATCGGTGCCGTTGATTCTTCAATAAACGTTTTGAGTAAAAGATCTACAACATCAGTAAGATGTGATTCAAAAAAATCTGCCAGAGGAATAATTTCTCCAAGGGTACTTCACAAAGTGATGAATGCACCTTCTTCTCAGTGATGTACCATTTTTGTGAGAATACGGTCTCCGATGATTTAACATACTGTAATGATTACCAATAAACGCACAATGAAGCTCAAGTCTCGGTTAACTACTCCGAAAGCGAAGCGTAGCTTTCTCGTCGTCATTACAGCGTAATGAAAAAGTCTTCTCAGAAAGCAAGCCTAATGTTAGAATTGCCACTTCTCAAGCTATTGAATGACTGTCAAAAGTCGAACGAAAAGCCAAGCACACGCAAAAGCAAAGCATACAATACACTTTGAAGGTGAATTACAATATTCTCTTTATAGCTACAGCGCATTTGAAAGGCCTATAAAGAAACCAGGTTAGGTGTTAGAATCGTCGTTTCCCAAGTAATCGAATGAATACTAAAATATCGAAGAAGAAGTTGCGACCGCAAATAAGGTTACTAAATATAACAGTGCACTAAAGAGGCGCATAGTTTCATCGTAATTAATGAGTTCTCAGTCAAATACTCACTTCTGTTAAAGACTTTGCTGTAAAAGTATGAGGTCTAGACGTTGTGATTAGTGGAGAGGAGCAAAAATGCCTCTGATTCCATAGGTTGACATTTCAAGCAATGCAGCATCATTTTTGGATAGCGATTCGTTGTATTCTAATTTTCAGTTGCTATAATAGCTTTTAAGTATTCTATAGAATGAAGAAATGTCAAAATCACGAGGGGAGGTGAGCATCGCTATATCCGAGCACAACCTACGGAACTTCATTTACTCTTAGCGGACGATGAGGTCATTTTGATCCTCAAGTTTTCAGAGGACTTTTGCGCTGGACAAAGCTTTTCATCCACAATTATGGAAGTGATTTGAAAGCTCAAATATTAGCAATTTCAACATTGCACTTGTTTTCTGAATTATGTTGTACTCTCAGCTTGCCTTCTTTGGTTGATTAGGGTTTCTAAATGGCTTCCTATATGACTACACTAGCACTTATTTCGCAATATAAATTTTGACGATTCTATAGCCAAATTTGGCTTCTGAGAAGTTTTTTATGGTGTGGTTGTGCGAGCAAAGATAAGATTACAATTCACATTTGTAGTTTTCCTTGCAAATAAGTGCTACATATGCACAAAAGCATAAGATCATGTAGAGGAAAGCGTGTTTTATCAGAGGCATAAAATTGAAGTTACTTCTAAACAAAGAAAAGCCTTGTTAGATAACGGAGATCGCGCGTCATTTGCTAAATAGATTATGCTGCCGTTCGGGAAGGGTTTAATGGTGATAGCACAAAAATTGAGTGTGGACGAGTTTCTTACTGCTCGGACTCAGACCCAGTTTGAATGTATATTAACATGAAGCATGAAGAAGAGATCATGTTGGATTTGAAGAACTCAGAGAAATAAGGATAACCGAGCAATAAAACGATAGTCTCGAGACACCAGTGTTCCGTGTCTTTTCTTACATCCCATGTAACAAATGTGTTGATTTTGGTGCACATCTACATTGCACTCCAATGGCACTACTCCAGTGGTTGCGGTCGTGAATATGGGCTAACTGTGACCACAACATAGAATTCAGGTGAAATCGAGTAGTCTCTTCAGTGCAAGCTACTGAAAGTGATAAAGTTCCTAGGAACAGTTAAACTTCAAGTATGATAATGAATTATGCCTAATAATCATTTTTCAGTCATGCATGTGGTTTGTTATCGGGCAACTTATAGAGCCAGATACACGTGCTTCGGCCTATACAGCCTCGTCAGTCGGGCGGCAAGCCAATCCTCTCCGGTCCCCCTGCTAAGAGTAGGCAACGGCAAACATTTTACGCTCAGAAATGATTATCAGGCATATCAAAAGTTGAGCGTGGTCTTGAGAAAACACTCGAAACGAAGGTGTGATATTGAGATAGTTTATTTATGGACTTACGTTCAATGTTGATAGTGAATATAATTCACACTGGATACTTGAGTGGATCGAATCGACACATTTTCCAAAACAACTGCAAAATTTTGTAGAAGAAGAGAGAACAGCGCAATAACGCTTTCGTGCACGCTCTAGTTTAGCGCCAGCTCGACTTTCCGTCACAGTTCTGTTGTCATGCGTATGTTGCCATCTCAGGTCACAATATGGACCATACTCACCTTGACAGGTTCTATCAATTTATATACAAAGTCACTCATACTAGTCAAATCCGCCAATGCCATAGACCTCATATGTTTGTATAACTTTTGCAAAAAATACAACGGCTAGAGTCATATCAGACTAATAAGTAAAGCTCTCGAAGGAAATTGCACCACACATTTGCACCACATAAAATAAACATGTCTCAGCTCACAAAGGACTGTGATAACTGATATAATCCTACATCTAGAGAACTTTGCCAGCAAGACCTAAGAATGGAATCAATGCCGGCACTAATATGATTAGATGATGAGGAGCGTTGTTGCTTCAGACACCACGGCTATGCATGCACAAAGAAAGCCTGTGAGAATGTATAAAATGCCATGTATTAAACACAGGGTAAGAGAAGCGCAAAAGTCTTTCTTCGAAACGTGGAAGGAAACCAGCCATTACAACAGAAATCACCATAATAGTCGGGGATAAATAGCACCTTGTGAAGTGTCAGTGTTACTTCCATAGGTAGCATAACGATGATAGTGAGAAATTAGGAGTCGTCCACTCTATACCAAGACCGGAATTAAGTATCTTCACGAAAGTGTTAAACGAAAAAAAGTCTCCAAGGCTAAATGTTGTTAGAGGGTGTGATAGTGGGCGCTGCAGAGGGCTGTTAGAGGGCGCTGCATGGGTGTGATACACCAAATCCGAAGAAATGCTCACAACCACCTTGAAGCTTTTTTTTGGAGATTACCCGGTGTACATATTACAAAGCTAATCTGCATAGTTCTTTTTCTCGATATCCACCGGATTGACCCTCAGAAAACAAAAGTGAATAAGGTGACTATTCAATCCCAGAGAGGGACAGGAGAACAACAAGATTAACAAAATGGGCACCGAGAGATTCACGACCAAGGGTTCCCCTCAGAAAGATAGGCCAACCACTAAGAGAGCTTAACTATCATTTGGATTCACCTATAATTCAATCACTTAGCAGAATAGTAGTTTTAGAATCATAAAATGAAGGAATGTGATATGATCCTCAATACATAAAAAAGCATCAAGTCATCTAATTTCCTTTGGTAAGTCGTTTTATAGGAGCGTTTTGAATTTGAGGTAGCTAAACGTCGGCAAACCTTATTTTCTCTAGCAAGAGTCATACATATATCTATCATTCTCAAAAACTTTCCTATCCAGAGAAAATTTTACTCAATATTAGCCATTTGAAGAAGAAGCACTTTTCAACAAGCATGCTGGAAGTGCGTAGAGCTGAGTAGAGACTATCATTATGTGTGTGTTGCAGGTTCAACCTCCCGCTAGAATAACAAGACTTTTCAGTTTTGAGACGTTTGGATAAGTAATGTTGGCAAGCAAACTTCATTGATGTATCAGAATTCATTTTATTTGAACGCCCTTAACGCTAGTAAGATGTTAAAATATACCCAGTGTTAAAGAGTGATATGCAAGAATATTTGTTGGGATATCAGCTCAGCTAACATCAGTTGAGATTCGAACTTTTCACGCTCTACGATTTCACCCTATTTCGCCTTATCACCCTAGATTTCACTCTCTCACCCTGGATTTCACCCTATCACCCTAGATTTCACCCTATGCGTCGGCAGTGCGACGGTTCAGCACGCTCTCCCGGATAGGGTAAGATCTGGGTTCGAATCCCAGATGACGCAAATATTTTTGCACATCACTCTTTATCATTGGGTCTACTCATTGATGTATATTGTCCAAAGAGCATATGTGACGCAGTGGTTAGAGGTGTCCTGCGACAAATACGTGATCTATGCTTCGATCCCACGCTTGACGGGATCGACTTGATACATCGGTGGGCCACCGTGGGTCAATGTAGAAGCCAGTTATGCCTTCAGTCAACTCCAACGATTCTTGATCAAGTCGAATGCATAGCGTATCCTTAAAAGATTGATCAACGCCGAGAGCTTTATCCTTTATTCTTTTACAACGTTCGCTAACGTTTCAGTACTTAGGACGTTCTGTTCATATTCTGATCATACTTATGTGGTTCGATGATCTGGCCACTTTTAGGGGAGTATAGAGGATGAACGCATATGCAGAGTGGCAAGAAATTGCCATCTCTATTAGTCTAGAGTCTCTATTAGTGTGAATTCAGATCCTAAAGATGCAGTGGAGCTTCATCTCAGTCAAACTTCCATGCTGATGCTGAATACCGTCAATTTCCATATAGAATAAACTTTTATTGCAAGTCATAATTCAATAGAGAAATTCTTATTTTTATTGCGTAGAGAGCTTTCCAGAACAGAGGTCATACCTGAGATCTTTGAATACCTTCAAAAAATTCATCGTTTCGAGATCCTCGAAGTACTAATCCGCTGGAATAAATGAACTTGTTTTCTAAATGATTGTCAAACCAAAACACATGTCCAACACTTTATAAGTGCTATAATAGCCTTCGGAAAGGTCTGAAATATGCAGGCAAGATGTGCTAATTTCAAACGAGGTCTCAAAATAGTCGATTGAAAGGTATTGTTACATATGCTCTGTAACAGCCGTAAGCCATGCAATTGACAATAAATCACTCTCAAAGAATGTCATGGCGTTCTTCAATCGGTACATTGAGTGTGAAAAGTTTGGCGTCGATCTCTCTATATAGGGAGTACATCCCGAGGAACTGATTGAACCGAAAGGCACCGTGCTAGTGAGGAGACTGAAAGGCCGAAACATGTGTCTAGCATTTTATAAGTGTCATAACAGACCACATGAAAGGCCTAAAACGTCAGAACCTGTTTCCTGTTTGCAAAACTCTGAGGGGCCTAATTTTATGGAGTAAGGTTCTCTTCGAGCTCAAATTAATTACTATGTAAAAATAAGGCTTGGGCACAAGTGGTGCAGCGGGTGACACATGAGCCCCGGAAAGGGTGATCACGGGTTCGAAAGCGGCCCCCTCACCTTCCAGTGTTTTGTTCGTGTCCCCGCATTTTTGTGGTTATATTTCCACTAATAACAATGCGTAATTTACGACCGCATGCTGCAATCACTTTCGAACCGAAAGCCACGGAATGCAGGATGCACGTTTTCGCGCTCTAATTTCACATCTCCGTGGCGCGAAATCGTTGTTTTTGAATTCAGTTCACTCCGATCCTGAAGTTTTCGGGGCAGGTCGTTTCCGGGGGGTCGGTTCCTTATCTGTCAATGACAATATCTCTCTTCCATCCATCATCCCCTGTTTTCCTCTCGAGTTTTTCTCTCCTTTATCTTTTTTTCTTCCTTTTTTCTCTTTTTTTTTTTGCTCTTCTCCCAATGAAGCTCCAATTTACAAAGCTTCCTGTTGACGTATTTTCGCTGAAATTTTCCTTTCATTCAATTTTAGTGAGCTTAAATGCTAAATCTTTTTTGTAGGACAGTGATCCTGATATTTATGCGTCAATTACGAATAACAAAGATTATCAAATTCCAGAGGATCGTTGTTGATCAAAGAGACAATGGAGCATTATATGCCGGAGATTTTCTGGCATGATAGGAAAGCACTTCTCTCTGTCGACTGTCATCCGGTTGTTGAAAATGGTGCCTATCGCATAGTCACATCGAGTGTTCAGAAAGAGGTTTCCGTTCATTATTTACACTTTTTCAGTTTAGGAATTTTTCGTTTTTCTTCACTTTCTTATAAGAACCCAATCCTGAAGGATTAAAGCACTACAAGAGCCCTAGTTGTGCTACGTAGCACGCACCCGCAGCCACGGTGAAATACGGGTTCGATTCGTCCGAAGTCCAAAGTTTCGCATATCACTCAACATTGTTGAATTTACAATCCAGTCATGCTTCAAACCTTAAGATTACTGTGCGAAGCAGTCAACCTCGGTCTAGTGGTAGCATGCGCTACCGCTATGGATGTGACGCGGGTTCGACCCCCGCCTGAATCAAAGTTTTGCATATCGTTCAGTACCCTTGAATATAGCATTGTGAAATCATAACACTCCTATAGAAGTTTTAAAAGTAGAAATTCTTCATGATTTGAAAGATTACTCTGGTAAATCTTCTCTACAGTTTGATCCACCCATGTGATTGATTTATTTTTCATTTAATTCTTTTTCTTAACTTTAGTTAGACTTGGTTCTTTATGTCTGTCTTCTCGTGATTTTATAACTGCTGTAATCTTACACAGTTTTCAGGTCCGTATCTGGCGATTTGAGTATGAACAGGCTACAAAGATCTCTTCGAAGTATCAATTGGCAGTAACCTTCCTTGCTAATCTCTCCGGTCACAATGTCGCGATCAATCAAGTGAAGTTCAGTCAAAATCCGGAGTGTTAGTTCTCCGTACTTTTTCTTTTCTTTAATTTTTCCAAGAAACAGATGTCTTTTAGAACCATGAATAACATGAATTCTAAATTGTTGCTCAACATTACACAAGGAAACGGATAGCTTCAATTTCCATCTTCATTCCGAAAGTTTTCGGGTAGCTTCTTAATTTTTTACGAGTTTTACTCGTTGACTACCATTGGAGGTATTGTAGAGTTATCTTTTCCGTCGAAACCTTCCGTGATTAGAGATGGTTTCTGTAGTTTCCATCGTATCTGAGCTTCGAGTGAATGAAGCCTAGTGAACGGTACTTGCTCCAGGCGATCGGTATCATCTTTTTTCCACGGAATATCAACTGTAAACTAGGTTCTTCGTGACTTTACGGCTTATAATTGGTGAAAGTGCAACTTTCAGTGGTTTTTTATTTGTTTTATGTAAATCGTCATCATTTCTATGATACTGATCCCAGCATTTCTCCCATTCGATTCGTTTCTAAGCATTCATCGTCCCCATCGTCTAAAAACGTCTTCGGACATTTTACGATTTGTTTCGGTTACTACTTGACGAACTCATCTTCTCAATAAATGTCGTGAAATGGTGACCGAGTCGATTCTTCATACAGGTTTGGGGGTACCCGAGCTTAGCCGTTCCCACTTATGTTGCTAAATTTGTGGGAGATGTCGAACCGCGCTTTGTTTTCTGATGAAGTGCACCGCCAATTCCATCTCCAAGATTAAGAAGCTTGATTCAATTGCAGTAGGAAGAAAGACGAGAAATTGCACGTTTTAAGTTTTTCAATAAAAGGAGCTTTTCAGGTCAAAACATCAGATATCTAATGCTTTGCAGAAGTTTTACATTTAGAGGAGTTACCATCAAACAATTGTTACGTATTGCTTTCATGTGAGGCGTTTGAGGCTGGCTGCCTGAAGCTCACCAGCGCTCTTGGGTTCGATCCCATGCGTTGATTAACAGGACTTTGGTGGGCTCATTGCAAGTCATTGTTAAGGCCAGGTATGCATCCAGTCACTTCAAGCGATGTATGATGAAGTCGAATACGTAGCATGCCTTTGGGATTGATTAACGCCGAGAGATTTATCCTTTTATTCTTCGAACACAATGTGACACTTGCGCCCACTGAGTGTGGTGTGCAAGGCAGACAGAGTGCAAGTGAGATGGCGGTGTTTAATATAGTCGAATAACGTATTCACAAATGTTTGTTCAATAGAAGTTTTGCAGACATTTGTTCCATTTACAGTAAAATTATTGGCATCTGGGGATTCTGATGGACGTATTGCCATTTGGCAGCTATCAGATGCACCCATAACTGCACCACCTGTCGATGATATGCCTCCGAATAAGGAGAACTGGGTGCGTATGAGGGTAAGTCGGTTTAATTTTGGACGATTCAGTTGTCAACCTAAGTTCTTACTCTGGTTCTGTGATGTGACTGCGCAAAAAATATGAATTAGTCGATAAAAAATTTATCAGTACTATTTGATCGGTTCTTGTCCTGTTTTTGAGAGTATTTGTGCAGTGAAATTCGCGCTACCAAAGATGGTTTCGTTGACTGGAAAAACTCTGCAGATTAATCAGAAGTTCTAATCTGAAGGTGTTTCATAATTTTGTATTAGAGTCGATAAAGCATAAGGTACCAATTTATCTCGTAATTAACTTATGCGAATCTTTATATAATCTACACTCGACTGTAATGCGAAGCATAAAGATCAGTAATTCTTCTAATTTTTTCACTCTAATTTAATGGCTTATGGCAGCTGAGGAAGATTACTTAAAATCTATGTTTGTCGCGATTCTGGTTATTGAGCTACCGGGTTTTTCCAATTTTATCACGGTTTTATCTGTCATAGAGCTCGTAGGGCACAGTGTTTAGAGGTGCTCTGTGACACACACACAGTCGATCAGTCGATGGTCGATAGTTCCATCCTCCTCCAAAAGCTCCCAAGCCTTTTTTCTACCAGGATTGGTGAAGTGGTACCAGAGTTGTTTGAGAGGGTAGCAAACTGGCTTGATACGTCGACAGGTCGCCACGTGTCTTGCAAAGGCCGTATAAGCATTCGATCACCTCAAATGATACTAGATAAACTGATTTTCATGCTTTTTTTCTTTATTTTTCATCATTATAATGGCTTATCCCTTTGCGAACGATGAAGGTCATTTTGATTTCTCCACAGTGTTTTTTTGCTGGAAAAAGCTTTTTTATTCAGAATTTCGGTATCAGCTAAAACCTGAATCTGAGCGATTACAATGCTGTTCTCGATCGTTGGAAAAGGCGGCTTAATGCTTTTTAGCAGCGAAAGGAACACTTTGGTTCACATTTTTTTTTTTGTTTGCTCGGCTATGCTCTATGGACCATTTTTTATCAAACCACACTAATGCTCATC